CATCCATGGGTGTGAATACTCACAGATGTGTGTACACACCCCTTGTGCTCACACCCTTGCACCCCCACATCCATGGGCACACACACTCGTGCCCATGTCCAAGCACAGCAGCAGGTCTCAGGAGCAGTGTCCCACATAGGCCTGGGGTGTAGTGGACTTGGCCTTTCTTGCTTGTCCCTTCCATGCTGCTCTGTTTTATAAGGACGGCTGCCCCTGGCCCTCTCAGCTGGCCCTGTGAGGGGCGGTGGAGCAGCGTGGAGACAGTGGGCCAGCGGGCTGAGCTGACATGGGGTGAGGCGGGAAGGAGGATGTGTGTGCATGTGCTGTGTGTGTGTCAGCTCGGCCACGCTGAGGTCCAGAAGCCCTTGGGTCTCCATGTGCCTCGTCTGTCTGCAGTCCGCCCTTTTTCAGTCTGCCTTACAGGAGAACTAGCTTGGGAAGGGCTGCAACATGGGGGTATCGAATGCAGCAGGCTTTGTGCCCCAAGTTCTCACCCCGGGGCTGTAGCCTCTGTGTGCCAGGCGGTGGTGCTTCTGGGCAGTGTCAGCCTCCTGGTGGCTTCTTTGTGAAGCAGCAGCTTGAACCGTATGCACCGTGTCTTTTTAGGTTCAACATGGGAAATGTTGATTTCTAGCACTGTGCCACTAGTGTGTAATAAAGTAATTGTGAGGCGTTATGGCCCAGGGATTCCTGTGGCGATGAAGCAGCCCCAATAGCCTAGTGGTAGGCTGCTGCACTGCTGTCCCAGAGGCAAGCAGTTCAGATCTGTGGGTTTACAGCCTCTGAAAAGCCGCCGGAGGGTCAGCTGTGAGTCGTTTCCAACTTGAAGATGCACTACAATGGTTTTGAAAAACCCCTGATGGGGTATCATGATTACGTATCAGACTGCTAAGCAAAAGGTTGGCAATTCGAATCCACCAACCTCTCCGTGGGAGACAGATGCACAGTCTCCTGCCTTGAAGAGATTTCCAACCTGGGGACCAATGGGAATAGCGTATGGAGGGTGTTTTGGGGGTAAGGTATTCTTGTTTCATGATGGTAACTAAAGGCATCATAATAAAGTTAGATTTGTCATGTGAGGCCATGCACACCGTCAGCTAAAAGCCTTTGGAAACAATTCACCAAAAAGACCCACAGAACCTGTGTGACTCGGTCCTGCTTCCTATTGAGAACAAATCCATGTCAGTGTTCCCATCAGTCCTGCTGAAGATGCCAGCTTTGCAAGGGTGACACGGTGGACACTTGCTGCCCCTCCAGACACCCTCCTGGACTGTTAGGAACAGTGTATTTGCAGTGGTGATAGGTGCCATCAAGTTGATGGTGACACTGTGAACAGCAGATCTGAGCTGCCCTGTTCTCAGTGTCCTCTCACAGATCTGAGCCAACCCGTCCTCGATGTCCTCTCACAGATCTGAGCCAACCCGTCCTCGATGTCCTCTCCTCTCCAGTCCACTGATACAGCCTCTGAGTCAGTGTACATCTTGGTGGGGATCTTCTACCTTTTCTCTAGGCTTTTCCTTTTCCCAGTGTAACGGGGCCTGTTTACCTCAGTGTAAAGTCTGGCTCTGCAGACTCTCTCTGAAACCGAGGCATTTGGGTTTTCTGGTCCTCAGTATTCACTGTTTGAAGAGTTAGCACAGAAGAGCACTAATTGTGAGAGTCTTTGAGCTCCGGCCTTGTGGCTGCATGCCTTGATTGTTATTCTGCAAGCAAACCATGTGGATGTGGGAATCTGGGGAGAATGCAGGAAGTGGAGGCTGAGGAGAGCGGGTCACCCACCCCGTCCTGGTGTGAGCGAGCACTGGGCTTCATCTAGGAAATGCCCGTCATGGCCAGAGAGCGCAGGCCATCTGGCCACCCCATGGCACCAGTCCCCCTGAGCTGCAGCCCGTCCCGGCTCCTTCCTGGCACCGTGTCATGGGAATTAGCCGTGTAGTCTAGGCATCGCCCACAGTTGGTCAGTACATGCTCACAGACCAAATAGCAGCCCACGGCAGAGCAGCCAGCATGGGGTGTACCTTGCACTCTGGCAGAGGGCTGAACTGGACCTCTGTTCCCTCATTTGAGGGCACGCTGGCCCCTGGTCCTGTCATCCCACCGCACCCAACCAGCCAGACACCACGTGTGACCCTGCAGGTTACGCAGGTCAGCAGAGGTGAAGTGTGTGGTTTGGAGGGGGCTTGGGGCCCAGGCTCAGAGCACCTTCGGAGGCATCCCCACTGGGCGGGCAGGTGCAGCTGGGCAGGAAAGCTGTGGGTGGAAGTGGTAGGCAAAGGAGATAGAGTGTCTCCTGTTTATTCGTGTCATCGGGAGCCACAGCCTGGGTTTGGGGTCTTGGGAGATGAGGGGGACAGGTTCCCTGTGGCACCCCTGGCTTCATCCTAAGCACACAGTTGGCCGGCTGGAGTACCCCACTGCGAATCCCCATGAGGCTTCCTTAGAAGCTTTACAAAGTGGACTTTTGAAGGACAGTCTATCAGAACCAGCAACTCAGAACTCGAGCTCACTGCCTTCAGGTCAGATCCGACTCCAAGCTGACACTCCATTGCGTTTCTGAGGCTGTGAATCCCAACGGGAGGAAACCCAGGTGGATTTGAACCGTCGGAGAGGCACACCTTTGGATTAACTGCTCAGCTCCCTACTAGTAGGCCAGTGGAGCTCTCCATCCCGGCTAGCAGAGGGAAGGACACGTAGCACAGAGGCTGCTGGACACTTAGGGCCTGATGGGGCCCCTGGAAGCCAGGACCGGGGGTCATGTCCCCTCCCTGTGGCCACCCTCCGTGAGTGAGTCTCTGGGAGCTCACGGGGTGCCTGCGACCAGCTCTCCCAGTGTGGGCTCATCTGCTGTTCCCTCTTGAAGGGTCCCTGAGGGTGGCTGTGTCCGGGCAGGCAGGAGCTTCCTCCTGTGCTGGCCAGATGCCTGTACCTGGTCCTCCCATCCCTGGCTCTCCCTGTCTACGTCCTGTTTGTCCTGTCTCGTCTCCCCTGGCAGCAGACCACACAGTTGTTCTCTGTTCTGACTTCCAGTTCCCAAATTCTCTCCTCAGCTCCATCGTGTCCGTTTTATTTCCTAATTGGGCCTTCCTTTGCACAGCTGTGGTTTTGATTGCTGATGTTCTGCCTGCTTGCCGGTCCTGCCGGGTTCACCATGCCGTGGGTTTGCTCTCCAGACACTGCTGTTGGCAGCAGTTCTGTTTTCCGTACAGGGCCTGCGGAATTCTCCCCATCGCGAGGCGGACAGCTTTAGCCATCCGTAATGCGATTGCACAGTCACTGTGACGAGGGTGAGAGAGACAGTGTTTCAGCCATCTAGTGCTAGTTCAAGTTCAAGTAGAATTCTGTTCTCACACCCTGGACGCCAGCGCCTGGGCAAGGAGCTTTCTCTGTCAGTTCTCAGGGAAGGTCCTGGACTCCTCTCAGCATCTCTGTACTCATCGTTCCTTGGAGCCCTCAATGCGTCTTGACATCAGTCTTCCTGTGGGTCCAGGGAGCCCTTTCTAGGTTGTCACATTAAAGACTAAGGTGGGCCTGGTGCAAGCCATGGTATTTTCAGTTGCTTCCTACGCATCTGAAAATTGGACAAAAATTAAGGATGACAGAAGGATCGATGCCTTTGAGTTGTGGCATTGGCAGGGTACCTGGTATGTCCCAGACTGGAAAAAGGAAAACCAGTCAGTCCTGGAGGAGGTGCAACCAGAGTGCTCCTCAGAGGCAAGGATGGTGGAACCTCATCATCTAGTCCGGAGGGGCTGGTCCTAGGAACAAGACGTCATGCTGGTGAAGGTAGAGAGTCAGCGAAAGACAGGAAGACCCTCAACAAGGTAGACTGACACAGTGTCTGTACCAGGGGGCTGCTGTACCAGGGGGCTCCTGTACCAGGGGGCTCAAACAGCCAGATTGTGTGACGATAGCGCAGGGTTCAGATCTGCTGCCCAGACGTCAGAATTCATTGTCATTGACGTGGTAACACCTAACAACCACAAGAGGTATGAGGACGGGGACCCTGGCTCCGTAGGACGCATCACATAGCGACAACGACCGGTTGTCAAGGACAGGGACCCTGGTTCTGCAGGTACACGTGTGAGGACAGGGCCCTGGTTCTGCGGGATGCAGGTGTGAGGACAGGGACTGTGGTTCTGTGGAGTGTACCACCTAACAACGATGGGAGATGTGCGGGCGGGGGCCCTGGTTCTGTGGGACACAGGTGTGAGGGCGGGGGCGCTAGTTCTTCGGGGCACACTGTCCTACCTCTTTTCTCTTGGTTGTACTGAGGTCCTTTTCATGTCTACCCTCTGGGCCAGTGAGGAGGTGGGCTGTCTCCTGAGGTCCGAGACCAGACTCTCCATGCCTGGCCTCTCCCTGGTCATTCAGGGTGTCCCGCCCGCAGTCTCTGTCCTGGGCTGGTCCCCACTCAACAGCCTGGCACACAGTAAGCCCCTTCCAAACTGTGTCCGCGCTCTGTGTCCTCCAGGTGGTCAGCATAGGGTGGGGGTGGAGCCACGACCTGGGCTGTGTGGGCTGTGTCCTCCCTCCCCACCGGGCTGTGTCCTCTGTTCCGTCCAGGCAGTGTGTCTCGGGCTGGTTGGCCTTGTCCCTGGCCTCAGGCTGTCCTCTGCCAGGAGGTGGCAGCGGGGAGGCCGAGCCAGCCCGGGCACGCTCCTCGCCCACGCGGGCGTCCGGCGAGCGGATGGAGTGCCCTATTCAAAGCTTCTGAGCGTGGGCTGCTGCAGTGGCCGCCCCGGGGACAGGTGGGACCACAGTGCGGGGACTCACGGGTCCCTCCTGGAGCCTGAACAGAGATTCTGTGGAGGAAGTCGCTAAGCCTGTGAGGTCAACGTGCCAGGATTTGTTTTTCCAAATGAAAGCGATGCTGTGCGCTGGGCGGGTCGGGGAGGGCCCGTTGGGGAGGGACGGGTCCTGACTCAGCGCCCCGCCCGCCCGTGGGCCCCGGCGCCATGAGGCCGTGCCACTAACTCATGTCTCTGTCTCTTTCCTTTCAGTCGGCGACCGTGTCCGACGGCGGTGAGTACTGTCCATGTCCCCACCCTTGCCGCGCGCGCGCGTGTGTGTGTATGTGTGTGTGTGTGTGTGTGTGACAGCTGCCCGAGGTGGTCTGAGCGACTCCGTCCCTGGGTCAGTGCGCCGCTCCAGGTGGTGGCCATGTCGGTAGTGGTGAGCCGCTGGCCACCGAGGAATGTTCTAGACCTCTGCTGTGTGCTCACCTCACCTTGCATACCTGAGAGTGGCAAGTCCAAACGGGTCCCGCCCGCCGCCCAGCTCCTCACAGAGCAGTTCTGAAAGTGCAGGCGAGGCCCCAGCACCCCACTTCCCTCCCTCGAGAGCTTGTCCTGTCCAAGCCCCAGACGTGCCTGGTGTCCCCCCCAGGCCCCGAGATGGCTCCGCTGTGCCCTCTCAGCGCACACCATTCCTGGGCAGCTGGTGTGCCAGGTCCAGTCCCGGCGTGGCTGCATCGATTCTGCTGGCTGGGGAAGGGGTCATGGAGGCCCACGGAGCGAGCCGCGGGGTCCAGCGGGCGGCGTGGCAGTTAGGGGAGAAGCCAGGCTGGGTGAGGATGACCTGGGGTGACCTGGAGGGAGGAGCAGGGAGGACAGTGTGGGGGGATTTGACCTCAGGCTGTAAGTTGAAGGTGCTGACCTCCTGCTCGAGTGTCTGCATCCCGAGTGTCACCTACAGCCCTCGCTCTGTGAAAGGGCTACTTCTAAATGACCAGAAAGCCCTCTGGGGTCACAGCCACTGCTGCTCCACTTCCAATGGGCTGACACTGGCAGTGGGACCCCAGGGCCTCCCGGGCCTGGGTCTATTCTGTAAGAGGACTTAGTGCTGAGTGCAGACACCAGCGAACTATTTAATCAGGCTTAATCTGGCGTGGGAAAAATTCGTTAAAAGAAATGGAACAGGTAACCAGAGCTGGACGGAAGTGTGTGGTCTGCCCTCCGCCCCTCCCCCTCCCCCTCCAGCGCCCCAGGTCCCCCGTCCTGATCATGAGCTCTGCACCCTCCCGTCCCCCACCCCGTCATCTCTTCCCATCATCCCCCATCCTGTGTCTGAAAGAAGACCATTCCCCTCTCCAGGTGTGCTGAGGCCCCCTCCCACCCCACCCTCATATCTCCCCCGGTGTGCTGGGGTCCCCTCCCACCCCACCCTCCTGAATCCCCTCCCCCGGTGTGCTGAGGCAGACATCTGGGGCCACAGCAGGAGCCTGCTGTCCTGGGATCTGGCTGAAGCGTGCAGTGTTTACGTTATGTGGTAGGCTTGCTGGGGGGTGGGGGGGTCCACATAGCTCGGCCTGGGAACATCAACCCCACACAGCTTCTGTGAGAAAAATGTACAGCACCTCCCAGGCAGCAACTCAGAGCAGCTGTCCCCAAGCTGGGGACAGTCCTCCCTCATGTCCAGGCTGAAGATAGTCCCTTAATGTCCGAACTGGGGACATTCCCTCCTTGTATCCAGTTTGAGGATGGGCCCTCATGTCCAGACTGAGGACAGTCCCCTTGCGCCCACGTTGGGGACAGTCGCCCCTCATGTCCAGATCGGACACGTTCCCACGTGCCCAGGTTGAGGACGCCCCACGTGTCCAGGTTGAAGTTGGCCCTCGTGTCCAGCCGGCTGATCAGAGAGCTCATGGCTCAGATGCAGTGGTGCAGGTCAGTGCTGGGTGGTCCGTGGACACTGGAACCTCTATGTTCCACACATGGACCACGAACTGTGGCCGGGGCACCATCGCCGTGTCTGCTGGCAGCCCACCTCGGCTCAAGGCACCCATTTCACTGTGCTCGGAAGACCCTGTGTTTATTACGGGTTGAGGGGCTGCAGACACCCTCCCTGAACCGTTCATTGGCTTTTTTAAAAAAAAATTTATTATTATTAATTTTAATGAGAAATTACAGAGACTTTGGATTTCCATTCATTCTTTGTTGTATTTTTCTCCCTGCCCACCCCTCCCCCGCCCAGTACATTCTTCTCTTTGAAAAGTAAAAGAAAAATTCTTTCATTGTTTTACAATCTCTTCTCCCAGGTCCACTCCACTGTGCAGCCTTCGCTCTAGACTTCTGTCATGACAATAATACCTAACCACATATCCCTTTTAAACAATTCTCTCCCTCATTTGTTTCAATGCAGTATACATTATTTATCACAGCTTTCTCAGTTTCCCCTTAACCCCGAGGTCAGTCCCATTTTACAACAGTGGCACTATGCAGTTTTTGTCCTTTTGTGATGGAAATATTTCACTCAGTATAATGTCCTCCAGGGTCACCCATTTTGAATAATATTGCATGAGTTCCTTACTTTTCAATGCAGCATAGTATTCCATTGTGTGAATATACCACAGCTTCTCTATCCATTCATTTGTTGATGGGCACTTAGGTTGTTTCCAACTTCTTGCTATCGTGAACAAAGCCGCGATAAACATGAGTGTGCTTATATCTGCTTGGGTGTCAGTTATGGTCTCTTTGGAGTATATTCCCAGTAGTGGAATTGCTGGGTCAAATGGTATCTCTATTTGCAACTTTTTGAGCAAGCGCCATACCGCCTTCCACAGTGGTTGCACCGTTTTACACTCCCACCAACAGTGAATAAGGCTTCCAGTTTCTCCACAACCTCGCCAGCATTTGTTATTTGCTGTTCTGCTAAATTTTGCTATTCTTCCTGGGGTGAGATGGTATCTCATAGTTGTTTTGAGGTTCACTGGCTTTTGCCAACCACACATGCTCTCTCCGCGCGGCCGGGACTGCCTGGGGCGGAGTCCCGAAACCTTAGAAATTCTCACCCGCGGATGCACTTCTAGGACACAGTCCTGTGTGAACCCCTCCTGTCCAGCCTGTGTCTGCCCCGGTAAATTAGACAGTCTCTGGACCCTGTGCCTCAGTGACTCCATCCTGGGGTGGTCTGGACCCGACCCCCTCACCCTGCCCCGTGACTGTGTTTCAGGAAATGGGGAATGCGTTCCACCTTCTCAGGAGGGGACCCTCAGTGACTCCTCCCCCAAGCCAAAGCAGGGGGTGGCCACGTGGGACCTGTCCTGGACAGGGGCACAGGGCAGGCTGAGATGCAGGGGACAGAGTCTGGCTCAGGAAGCGGAAGCTCGTCCTTGTAGGAAACCAGGGAAGTGGCTGTGCAAACAGCTGCTTGGGCTGCACTGCCTCTGACCTCTGACCTCTGTCCCTCTGTCCATGATGGGCTGAGGCCTCTGGTGGTCTGACTCTGGGGTCATCTCCATGCTGATAAACGCTCATCCCCACATCTCAGGCTTCCGCCAGCCCCTTTCTGATGGCAGAAGCCGGGGAGCAGATGGCAGCCCCCCATGGCACCCAGCCTCTTCTGGCCCGGCCCCCTGGCTGCTGGCCTTCTTCCTCTCTGGCTTGAACACCTGCCCCTGTCCCCCAGCACTGTACCCATCCAGAACCCCCTTCACCTGCTCTAGCCATCCGGGGTGTCTGTGTCCACATGCTCGCTCACAGCTGACCACGCCCAGCCAACCTGGCCTGGCACCCCTGCTTGGTCCCATGCTCCCCGCCGATACCCAGGGCACCCCAGCCCTTTAGGGGCATGTGTTGTGTCCTGCTTGAGGACGTTCCTGACCCAGAACACTCGTCCCCGCTCCCCACCAACCGGCCCTGGCGCGGGCGTGTCCCCCTCCTGCTGTTGGTGCACAGAGTCGCTTCTGACTCAGTGTCTGAGGGACAGCAAAGAAAAGGCCGCCTGGGGCTGAGCCGCCTCACGGGCGCTGCTGGGTCATGCCGTCGCTGTGGTCACTGTGTCGGTCCATCTCGTGGAGGGCTTTCCTCTCTTTCTCACTGACCTTCCCTTTTCCAAGAAACATTCACTTTACAGGAACTAGTCCCACCTACTGACATTTGGAAAATCTGCCGTCAGGGGACGCTCTCCAGAGTGCTAAAGAGCAACGATGTCAGAGAGAAGAGTAAGGTGCCCCTGCTCCAAGCTGTGACGGTCTCAGTTCCAGGCTATGCATCTGAAGGTTGGGCAGCGAGTGAGGATGACAGGAGAGTTGATGCCTTTGAGTTGTGGTCTTGGACAAGGTGCAGCCAGAGGGCTCGCCAGAGGCCAGGGTGGCGAAGCCTCATCGCAGGGACCGTGCGTGTGCTGTCACCAGGGGACGGGCCAGGCAGCGTTCAAATCCGTCGGTCACAGGGTCGCGTGAGCTGTCCCACCCGAGGACATGTCCACAGTATGGGAGAGGAGGGCTTGATGTCTTTGCTGCTACAGCGCTCTCTGCATTCTTCCGAGATAGATTTGTTCATTTT